TTTAGAATGGTTGAAATGAACAATTAGAAGATCCATAAAGGCATTTCTGTGTGTGGCATTAAATATAGCAAGAATTAATTTGCTGGAGTGGTTAAACTGTGCATGACAGGATTTTAGTGGGGGGAAAAAAATTCATGTAATGCAAATAAAAATCTAAGCAGAAGAGTGGGAATCAAGCATAATTTATGGGTAGGAACTGTGCTCACCACACACACTTTTGTGTACTTGCAAAAGGGGTCTCAATTAAATATACCATATAAAATTAGAGCAGCAGGGGGTTTGCTGTTAGTCATAAAGCACGTGTAAATGAATCAAAACTCATTAAAAAGCTGTATAATTACAGTTAACTAGGAGAGGAAAAAAAAAAAAGAGAGTCTGGACAGAGTAGGATGTTAAAAAAAAGAGATACAATGGCTGTGATTGGACAGAAAGACAAAAATAGGTCATGGGAGGAGAAAAATGAGCCCACAGAGGATGAGCATGATGGAAAATCCCTGCAGGAAGCACTACTGAGTATGTCATTAGTGGGAATGTTTCTGAACAGGAGGGTCACACGGCTGGGATTTGTCTTAAGGTGTCTCTGTGTTATTCTGCTTTCACTTAGTGTTTTATTGGTCCCTCTTGGCACATAACAGTGAGGGAGGAGAGCCTGGCCAACACCAATGGAGAGCACAGCATGTGCTCAGTGACCTCCTGAGGTCCCTTCCCACCTCAGTTATTTGGGATCCTGCACATCCCAGCAGTGTCTCCTTTCCCAGTGGGTTGATCTGAGCAGAGCTGTGGGAACACCCGCTCAGAGGGGCTCAGCCACCCCTGCTGATGGGACACAGGCCACCTCTGCTCTGGGATGTGGCCAGGCTTGCCCATGAAGGGAGGATGGCTTCTTCAGCTGAACACCAAAAGCAGAAGGGCTTTATGACAACCAGTGGAGAAGGGACCAGCCATAACACAGCAGGAACCTCTTGATCTACCCACCCAGAGAACCTGCTGCTGTCACTGCTGGCTTTGTCAGCAATGACCCAGGCCCCACCACAGAATCACACAATCACTTAGGTTGGAAAAGCCCTCCAAGATCATCCAGTCCACCCTGTGCCTCATCCCCACCTTGTGCCCCAGCCCAGAGCACTGAGTGCCACGGCCAGTCCTTCCTTGGACACCTCCAGGGATGGGGACTCCCCCACCTCCCTCTTCCGATACTTAACAACTCTTTCCAGGAAGAAACTCTTCCTGATGTCCAGGAAGAATCTCTTTGTTTGTAGGCACTGTAAAAAGCACATTTAAAGCAAGGCCCTCACCCAGTAACCCCCAACCTGGATGACGTGTCCGGTTGTCCTGCAGCACGAGGAGACCGGGGCACTTCAGACACCGAAACCACCCTGACCTCAGGAGCCTGGCTTTCTGTGCCAGATAATTTACTTGGTTCCTCAGGAGAGTGGGCTATAGACTTTAAATGTACTGCCACACATGGTCCAGGGTAGCTCAGTGTTAAATGCAGCAGAATAAAAACCATGGCTGCTTTTTGCACAGGTTCCCCTCGTGCTCCTGCAGGGCTGCACGTGAGTGGCTCTTCCAGCAGCTCTCAAGGTCACACTGAGCTTCCTCCCTCGCTGGCAAAGATGAATTTGAGTTCTGTTCGTGCTCCAAACTCATTTTTCCCTTAGTTAACTTCATGCTTTTACTTAGCTCTGCCTTTCTGGTCCAGCAGCCAATTCCAAATTTAATAAAACTTCTCATGTAGATCTCATTTTCTTCTATTTATCTACATTACTGAATTTCTCTCCCTCTTCATCCCTTTTTTTCCTGACACCCAGCACCACGTCCTAGTATTGTTAGTATACAATAAGAAATTCATGCCTCGGGCAAAAATGCTTCTCAATAACGTGGAAAAAAAATAATTCTGGAGAGAATGATCAGGCAAACTCACGTTTGCTCTGATCTGCGGCGCAGAATGGAACATCTTCAAAGGCACCTGATTTTCCTGGAGATTCCAACAGGCAGTGGCAATTCCTGGGTTAAATGAACCTTCTAGTTCTGCTTCAGAGGCTCTGACCCTGAAATCCAGCTCTGCCCGTCAATATATTCCATAGCACTGCACGTGTCTGCCTCAGGATCTGAGGAGAAACACTGCCTGGGTCTCCTTATCTTCCCAACTGGATCGTGGAGGTGGACTTTGCCAGAGTTTTTGGGATCTCAGGCCTGAACTGAGAGAAGTTCTCTGCCTGCAGGGATTTTTCCCTCCTCTCTGCCAGCCTGCCCATATTACTGAGTAACCCAGTCTCCATGGAGGATGAACTCCTGAGGAGAGGACACAACTGAGGGAGATACACCAGCACTTACCTTGAATTTATGGACCTGGGAGTCCATTCCTCATTACAGCTCACAGTAAATCATCCTCCTCCTGCTTTTGTTTGGAATCTGCTTCAGCTTCTGCCTTTATTTCCATCCTTTTGTATGTATAAAATCTTTCAGAAGAACCTGTACCAGTAAAAACAAAATAAAACTAAATGAGGTGTGCTTAAAAAAACCAGAAAAGATTTGCAAGAGACTGGAGGATCTTTGCACCACAAGACGCAGATTATCATGAGTTTTTCCCAAATAATTTTTAATTTATCTCATTTATTTCTCTTTAGGAAGTTGGTTTGGAAAACTGGCTCTGATTGTCTATTAAAAAAAGACAATTTCACAATTGAGAAAGAACAATCTCCCTGATCTAGCAGAGCTTCTATTCACATTTAACTGTTAGCAGAGCTCAGAGTGGCTCCTTGTGAGGGAAACAGGTTATGGGGGCATCAGATTCCCTCCTGGTATTGCAATGAACATAAAGGAAGCCACCCGCTCTGCAGGAATATCAAACTGATTTTTAATATTTTTGGACAACCTGGAAGCAGAAACCAACATAATTAAGAAAATCAAGATGTCTTTGAATCAGAATGATTGGTTTAATTTTCTTTTACAAAAGGGAAACTTAGGGGGGATAAATATCACTCACTCCTCTTTACCTGCTGTGTATTCCTTGTCACTGTCAGGCACAAAATCTGTAATTTTCCAGGTTTACTGCTTTTCCATACTGAAATGAAAATGACCATCAGTTACCAAAGACTTGAAACTAATTCCCAGTAGCTCCAGAGCATGGAACCAGATTTGTTTCACTCCTTCCTGTGTGTTTTCCCAAAACCAGAGGAATTCTACCAGTCTGTGTAGCCACCTCCTTTGGGCTTGGAGCAAACAACTACTCTGAAAAAAGGGATCTGAGAGTTCATTATTCCATGTGCATGTGGGTCCCACAGAAGCACCACTGCACTTCCATGGCAACTGTCATTATTACCCAAATGCACGGATTTTATCCTTAATTTCCATGCAAAATTGAACTCAGAAGTGATTTTTTTCATCCCAAGAAAAATCTCCGCAGAGGGATCTTTCTCCCTATTTTAAACACTGGTTTGTTCTCTATGACAAGAGAAGCACCCACTTACCTCAAATGTCCTTCCTTTCCAACAGCTGACCTGGGATTCACCACAGGAATTGGGAGCAAGGCTTTTAATAGCTCTCCATTTCCAGCCCTGCCTGCACTGGGGATGGGAAAAAAGCACCTTGGCTATAAAAGCAACTGTTCCACTCATACCAGCACGAGCCTTTGGAGAAACAGGACTAAGAGGGAAGGAAATTGGAAAAGTGAGGCTTGAGAGTATAATCCTATTTGAAAAGGATTTTAGAATCTCTGGGTCACAAAGGAAAAAAAAAAAGGAGAAAAAGAAAAAAGTCTTCACAGGTTCTTTCTACTGTATCTGAAAAAAGCCTTGTTAGTTTTCATCTCAGTTCTGTGTCCTGTTTTAAAGAAATAATAATTTTTCATGTCTTAAAGACATTTCTGCAGTTCCTTGGCTCCTTCCTCGTTACTCTTTCCAGCTGTGTGCCCTCTATTTCTTCTCTAGGAAATGGAGAGAGAGCTCTTGGCCCAAAGGAGGGTCACCTTCCCAAAGAAGGGACACCTTCCCAAAGGGCCACAGCTTCAGCAGGGCCTTTTCCAGCAGTGATGGTGGTGGTTAAAACCTCAGCGCTGGTCAGCAAACACGTCTCACCTGCCCTTGCTCTGTAAACATGGCCACAGACTGACAAACTCACCTTGTCACCGGGTAACAAACCATCCTCCTTCACGTCCCATGAGGCTGGAGAACCTGTTGTGAAGTTTTCAAACTGCAGCTGAGATGCAACACAAATAGTAAAGGGGATAAGAACTTACAGTAAATTTTAATATATAGAGATGAACCCAAGTGGTCCCAAAACAGAGAAGGAACCCCCCACCATGAACATCCCTGAACCACCTTCCCCATCCCTCCTCACAAAGGCTGAAGCTGTTGACATTTCAAGAAATGTAAGAAAATTTTCGTATAAAACAAAGTGTTTCGTTGACAAAGCTTTCCTGTGCTAATTTTTAAGCATCATTGTGACTGGATTAATAGTCCTGATTGTGTCTTGAAACTTTGGATGGACATAATAAATTGCTGAAGTCAACACTGCTTCCCTCCAACCACCTCTGCAAGTAACAACAGGAGAAATAAAAGGGATGAAAACCAGTGTTTGAGCTTAATTATTTGCCCCCTGGCAGTGAATATCCACTGCACCAAATAACCTGCAGAATAGAGAAAGTCAGGGGAGGTGTTAATGCAAGACAAGGAGAGGAAGAAAATCATATTGGAGACAAAACAAATAAATTGTTTGGCCTATATTAGAGACTAAGAGCTTTCAAATGAGGAGGCTGGTTAGACACAGGTTATCAACATCTCCTTGGCAGGGGCTGTGATATTGGATGTGATAAAATGAGAGGCTGCGGGTGAAGAGCGACACAATGAGCTGCTCACTGATCCTACAGAACACTGACAGCAAGATTTCCCATGTATCAATTGGAGAACAGGATACTTAACATTTTGAGTGCCATTTGATGACATTCATGAGATGATAATGACTCTGTGCCAGTAACGACCTAGACTGCATTTGGAGTGGTGACCTAGAGGGAAAAAACTTTAAAAGGCATTACTGTCACCTCAGACGTCGCCATCAAACTTCACTGCACTTAAGGCCCTTCCTTCAGACTTACATCCACATTATTAGGATCCTGCTCTGCTCACAGTGTTTGTAAAAGAGGCCAGAATTAATCTCACTATATTAAAACTGCCTTTGACTTAAAGAGGAGCAGATCTAAGCCAGTGATGAGAATGTCTATTATTCCCTCCTCCTGCCCCTCCTCTGGGCTGCCCATTTTCCATGCCCTTGCTCCGTGCCCTGCAGAGCAGAGCTGATGGAGTGACCCCACAGGATGACACAGTTTATGATCTGCTCTCCTCGCCCCTTTTGTTGCTGACGGTGTGGGAAGTGTAATAAAGAATGTGCTCTAATTAAATCTCTCTATTATTACATTAATAAAGAGGGACAATCTCTGGCAAGAGCAAATCAAGAACAATCTCCAGTGATCTGCTGGTTGGAATGAAAGAGATAAAAAAGGAGACAAGCCCTCTTGCTCCAGAAGAACCTGTTTTCACCCAGTCTTCTCCTTGGGGCTCAACAATATTCCTTTGCACCAAGAAAATAAAGGTGGGTATTTGGAGGTAAATAACTGTATGTGACACCCTCAGCCATCCTAAGAATGTGAAAACCACAATCTCTTGGATTTACTCCTTTTGGGAATATCCTTAATCCTAAATCCCATCCCATTTTATTCAAGGACTGCCTGGACATTTATAAACCAGCCTAATTACTGGCCTTACTGGTTTAACTGGAGCTGCTTTAGTGAGGGCAGCATCTGTAAACATCTGTTCTCTCCAGTGAAAAGTCTTTAAAGCCTCATGTTCACAGAACTTTTCCTGCATTTTTGACACGGCACAAAACTGTCCAGCACACCAACCACCCTCAACCAACATATAAATCCCATAGTAAAATACTCATTACTAAAGAACTGAATAATTGTCAATATTCATGTTTCTGTATTATGTAAATAAACATAAAATACCTTTTTTTCCCTGCTGATGGTAAGAAAAGCCACAAGCACATCTCAGGAGGATGTACAAGCTGATGGGCCATGGTCTGGGAAACAAGAGCTGCTCAACCTTCTGGAGTAAGAAATTAAATATATTGGCTGTTGGTTTGATTTTTCCATATTCCATTTCCATATTTTGACTTCCCTGTAAGAGAAACAAGACAGACACAGAACTAAAACCGGATTCTTGGCAGCTGGAGCTGCCCTGTTTCCCAGCCTGGTGCCTGCAGGACTTCTGAAGGTTCCATGGCTGTGGCCCATCCGTTGGAACGGCCCAGAAAAGCCACCAAGGACTTTTAAAGCAAACCCAGAACAACTTTCCTCTGTCATATAACACATCAAGTTCCATGTTCCTTCTGTTTAAAACCACCAATGCAATTTTAAATAATATCCAAAACGTATTTTTTGGGTCAACGCTCTTTTTCCTGTCTTTTGGAAAGGTTTGTTGAATTATTGTCAGAGACTATTTGGTTTTGTGTGACTTAATTTACATGCCACACATTATTTGACCATCTGGCTTCTCCCAGAATACCATAAGAGCAGATTTGTAAATAATTAGAAATATTAAAATAATAAAAATTCTAAAATTTATTTATTATTATCAAGGGCAAGCCTTGAGTCATTCTCCGCCCTGATTTTTTGCAGTGTGTTAAATTAAACCCAGTTTTTATTAAAGATATTATTGAATCTACAATTTAAAGTGGAATGTAAGAACTTTGACACATGAAAGAGTAACGTAAGAATCATCTCACCTAATGAAAAATAATCAAAAATACATCACTGGAAAATCTTTTTCGGATTAAAAATGTGACATTATCATCACATAATACTTCCTGAGTTAAATATGAGCTCTGAGAGAATATCTGTGGGCAAAATCACTTATGAAAGCAAAAAACTCTTCAGATTTGTTGAAGTGACCCAAAACAGGGAGATTTTTCTCACATCCCAAGTGGTAACTCCTCACACAATTTCCATGGCAGCAGAATTATTCCTCATTTAATAGACCATGAAGATATTTTTATTTACTGTTGTATTTAAGCGTTCTCTTTAAATTAAAAGCACGCCCTAATTTTTTTTTTTTTTTGGTAAATTGTGATTTTCCTGAAATCTGAGCTATTTCATTTGCCGAAGAAAATCAATGATGGGCTCATTTGAATATTAAAATGTGCCTATTTATCCCCTCTCAAGAAAAAGGGAAGTGGCTTTTCCCATTGGCGTCTGAGCAGGAGATGCTCAGTTCTGAGCACAAAATCATGGATAAGTAAGGCATCATTTCAGAGTTATATTCATCTAGAAATTCCACAGAGGGAGGGGAAAATCAGTGATTACAGCACTGCACTCTGTGCTCAGCCAGCTGGAGGAGTGGAGCTCATCAGGCCATGACTCCATCATTCCCTTAATCCTCCCTCCGAGCCAGGGATGGAACATTTTCCTTCCCTTCCCTCCCAGAGCTGGATTTCATGTGGGTTTTCCTCTGAATGTCACAGCGAGCTGGAGGTCTCATTTCTGTAAGGTCAAAAAAAAAAGGAAATTTCCTGACGTGCATTTTGGTTCAGGTTTGATTTTTAAGACTTAAAATTCTCCCAGTGATCTGCTAAGGGAGGTATATTTTCTTAGGAGAAAGGTATTTCAGAGGAGCCATTGAAAGTTACGGATTTTCTTCTAAAAATGTTTCCAATTCCTATAATTTTTACTAAAAGAAAAAGTAGGTTTCCGGACGGGGGGGGGGGAGAATTTAGAAAAGTCCTATTTTATTACTAAATTATTAATTTAGTAATTACTAAATTAATTACTAAATTATTAACTTATTACTAAGTTAATTCAGAGTTTTAATTCTTTGACATGACACCAGAATGTTCAGGGACCTCCAGACTAAAAGTACATAAATAATAATGAGCTGTCTTTTGTATTGATTTTTTTTTAAAGATGTCAGCTCTCATTTTTCTCTCGCTTTAAATCTGTGTTGCTTGAAACAGCTTTTTTCTGCATTCAACAGGGCTAAACAGCTACTAAATGAATATTAGTTTAATAAATTAATGCCAGTTTAACCTGAGTCACTCAGTAAAGAAGAAATCACTACAAGGAGTGATGCTGGACAAGTGAGGGATAAAGCTGCAGGAAAGGCACACCCAGAGCAAGAACCATAAAATTCTTGTTTGGCAATAAAAGGAAAATATGCATTAATGAAGCTATTCCAGCACAGGACAACAAGAAGACAGAAATTAAAATACTGTGTCACATTTCAGCAAAGCTCAAGTTTCAATCCATCCTCGGCGACAATTCCAAACCCACCTGGGTGTATCCCTGTGTAACCAGCCCTAACAGAGGGGTGCACTCAAAGATCTCCAGAGGTCCATGATCCCATGATTCTGAAAATGAAAAGTCCTGCAAGTCTCACTCCTCCTCCCCCATCACCCCCAAAGCAAGACACGCTTGAAGGGCAGCAATTTTTTAATCCTATTGCAGAAAGAACAGAAGAAAAACAGTCCAGAGTCCACTTTACTTGGCCCTCTGATGCACTGGAAGGAACCTGTGCAGCTGGAGAGGCTTAACCTCTGATCCACGGGGCATCCTCTGATCCCCTCCCTGATCCACGGGAGATCAGCAGCTCAGGGTCAATCTCCAGGTGCCCTCAGGTTGGCTGCCCACAGTCCTGGAGCTGTCAGCTTTCCTCTGCACAGGAATTGTTCCAGAAGAGCCAGAGCTCTTCCAGTCTCCTTCCTGCCCTGTCCTGTCCTTACCCACAGGCAGCTGGAACCACACAGTGAGCAGGGGAGGGGGTTCTGTAGCGTGGGTGTTGTACCAAAAGCACGTGGCAGTGGCAGCAGGGACACAGGCGAGGATTATACACTTACTTTTGCCCTTTGTCACTGCATTATTATTAATTTTCAATTATTAACCCCTGGCCCACCTGCAGACCACTGATTTTAGAGAAGGATTAGAAGAAGAGGTCACAGTTTCTAATAAATCTCTGCTGCTGGAAAGGCTGTAGCCACAGATCTTGGGGATTTTTGTGGGAACAAAGCTCAGCTCTCAGCTCCCCCAGACATAACCCTGTGGCACTTGTCGGTGCTTTGCTGCATTACACCAGCTCAGCACTTCTCCCAGACATCAAACTTCCTGATATTACCTGGAAAATGATCTTGCTTGTAATGCTGTAAGATGAGCTGACCCTGCTGAGATGTGAGCTTAAACCCACGCAAGGTTGCAGAAGGCAAATGGAGCGTGAAACCCTGTGTGAGAGGTGCTGGGAGGAAAGTTCCTGCAGGATAACACTGATCCTTATCAGTCTTTTAACCTTTTTAATGCTGAACCTGTAATCCCTTCAAAAGCATCTCTCCTGTGTAGACATCCAACCTTTGTGAGCCAGACACTGCAGGGACACGGAGCAGAAGGGAAGGGAAAAGCAGCAGGAGCAGGGTGGGGAAGCAGCAGCTTTTCCTTCACATCCACCCACTGAGCAGAGGGATCCCTTGGAGGTCTGACCTCCTTGTGTTCAGTCTTTCTTCCCTTACACATACTAACTATTGAAGGAAAAACTGCAGCACACGCTACAGAGAACAATTTCATCAACTGCTTTGCTTTTATTGCTTTCCAAGGTGCCCCAGCTCGCTGAGCTCTCCCCAAGGCAGGCAGAGGGAGAGCAAAGATTGTTCTCATCACGCCTTTCACACCACTGAAGCTGTGTCTGCCTGCAATATTCTGTTTAAATAACAATAGCTTGTAATATTCCCTGTGTTCAATAGGAAATGAAGGCCAAAATCAAGGCAAGACTGGATGGTTCTGAGCAACATCATCTGGTAGAAGATGTCCCTGTCCATGACAGGGGGGTTGGAACGAGATGGTCTTTGAGGTCCCTTCCAGCCCAAACCATTCTATGATTCTATGAAATTAATTTAATCTAAATCCCACCTTTAGCCACCATGCCAGGATTGCTGATCACTCCTGAATCCAGTGGATGTTTTCCCTCTTGCTGCCTGTGTGAGGGTGTCCCGTTGCACTCCTGTGATGGGAAAGTCAAAGCAGCACCTGGGAATAAAGGTTTGCTACAAGAGCACTCACCAGACAGTCCTGGATAAAGGTTCACCAGAGGTTTAGGCAATCACCCTGTACCATATTTTACTACCATGGTTTTCCAAGGATTGCCTTTTTAAATCACTTCTCACAGGGAGGGACAAATCTCAGAGAATCACAGAATATCCTGAGCTGGAAGGGACCCACAAGGATGAGCAAAATCCAACTCCTAGCCCAGCATGAAACAGCCTCAGTAATCTCACCATGTGGTATTTCCATTGCTGGAAAACAAGGGGCACACTGAAGTTGTGTTGTTTAAGGTTGAGTTGGAGATTAAGGAGTTGAAGATATTTCAGTGAGTGTGGAGGTGAACGTGGTCCCTCCAGCAACGTCCTCACTGCTGCCCAACCAAGGTCTTGTCCTTTAATTTATCCAACCAAAACAAATCCTTCATGGAAAACGGATGGATGGATGCAGTTTTCTTTTGAGAATCATTCACAAACTTGCACCAGCTGAATTCCCCAAATTCATTCCATTTTGAAAACACTGAGTTGCCTGTGGAAATGACCTCCAGTGTCTCAGTAATTTGGAGTTATGGTTCATTATTGTTGGCACTTGGCTGCTTATCTAAATCCCAGAGCAATCTGCTCTCTGCCTCGTGGAGCTGCTCAGCACTTCCAAAGGGGAACTCGGAGATGGAGGGACCTGCAAGAAGCCACAGAACTCTGTGAAATCGCTGGAGAAAAATCTCAGTTGAGACAACATTTTAGGAGATTCGGGAGAAATGGGCTGGATCTGCTATTAAGTCCTGGTGAGTAACTGAAAGGAATCTTCCAAAATTCGCATAAATTAAGAAGGAAATCCTCAGCTGTTTTAAATAAGGATTTAAATAACTACTTGTCTTTGGTGTCCTGCTCTGCCAGCTGACTGCTCTTCCCAGAGGAATGACCAGTCCCAGTAACAGCAAATGGCACTGGTGGCTTTTCAACTGGAGCCCAACATTGTTTGTTATAACATGATTGCTCAGCTGTCACGTTGGGAAGAGAAGGCACTTCTCTGTTTCTTCTTCTCTTTTCCCTCTAATTTGTTTGCTCTTCCAAAGAAAACTCACGTGCTCCAGTTTTCAGGGGCATTGAAGTGTTTCTTCCAATCAAACTGTGAGATTCCATGGTATAAAATGATATGATTTAAAACAGGAAGATGATATTAGTGTTGATGATGTTATTGAAAAAAACCAACAAGCCACCTTCCAAAAAACCCCCACCCAAACAAATCCAAAGCTCTATCAAGCCCTAACAATGGTAGAGAAGAGAGGAAAAGAAAAATGAAGAAATAAAACCAATAAATATTTGTGTGGATATATATTAATTACTAGCTAGATATCGTCAATTTAATTAAATAATTAAAATATTTGAGTATTAATTATGGGATATAAATGAATTGCTGCATATTAATTAACTACAACAGATTGGTTTATGCAGAAAACATCAGGGGAGGATTCAGGTGCCATTTGTGGGTGCAGAACATTGCTCTGGTCTCCTTCCTACTTATCTTCAAACCTTTACAAAGCCACACATTGGTTTAATTTTATTTATCATTGGCTATTCCAAACTGTAGACAGGGGAAGAGCAACATCCAGCCTGACCACTGTAATTGCAGCTTCCAGTTACTGGGGAAGAATCCCAATTACACGCTTAGAAAAATGACCTCATCTCCCTTCATTACTGATTGATCTTCCCCCTCTATTATTGATGCAGCTGACAAGGCAATCACATCCCGATGGCTCAGAAGGAGCTGACACAAAGGAGCTTCCACACAGACATTTAGAAGAGTCCTGACTTGTCAGTCGTCCCATTAGAAATCTTCTTTGGCAGGGGATGAGGGGAAATGGCTACTTCGAATTTAGCCAGGAAATGATAACTATGGGCTAAAATTTGCTGGATTAAAGAAATAAGGTTTGGTCATAAAATTGCACGTTAAAGACTGGAACCAGAAGATGCTTGACATTGAACAGGCTTTGGTTTTGCTTGTTAATACAACAGGTAATCTTTGGATTATAAAATAACCCACTTCTTTGTGAGGGTAAGACAAGCAGAAAGAATATTTGAGGGGTTTCACCTCCTCCACACCCATAGAAATCACTGACATTTGGCTAGTGGTTGATCAAAACAAGAAAAAACATGCAAAGCATTTCACACCCTTTTCTTTTCACTGCCGCTTGTGCAAAGGTCACACAAGTCCTGCTGGGATCAGGGAAGAGATTTGCTCCACCTGGGCACCTACAGCTGCACACAAGGAGCCACCTCTGCAGTCCAGGTGCCTGAATACAACCTGTTCCCTTGGGAATTCGGGGCCTTGGTCTCGACCACACGTTTTCAAGGCCTTCATGTGAAATTCAAACCACTGTGAAGATGGATGATGCAGTGAAGTCAGACCCTTCAAACCAGCAGGCAGCTCTGGGTGACCAGGTCAGACACAAATCAGCTCTTACAAGCAGAGGATATAGAAGCATTTTGTGCTATAGATTCGGAGTAATTTGAAGGCAGGATTAAAGCCGTTATCCAAGCCACAGATCGTTAATGCAAATGCCCAAGTTAGCAATTCTGGCCACAGCCCTGGGCACAGCCATTAGTATTCACAGCAAGGACTTCCCAAACAGAGCAGAATACTAATAAAAAAAAACAGAAGAAGAAGAAAAAAATCACTGCAGAACCACAGCTGTTCGATATAGATCATCTTTCCATTTTAATTTGTATCATCAGCCCTCCAAGTCAAATTGACTAATACCAGGGTACCTTATCCAAGAGCCATGTGGGCCAATCAAAGATCAATTTAAAGCGTGTTGGAAGAGATTGATTCATTTAATTCATGGGCATCAGAAGCTTTAAGCTCTGCCAGCAGTGCCAAGACATGACCAAAGCATCATTCCAACCACAAAGACACACAGACAATGCTCAACTGATGCAGATGAACTGAAATGAGTTTTTATTAACTCACCTGGAAACATAAACTAGAAATAAATCATCCAGAGCTCATCCTTCCTTCGGTCTCTCACTGTGTCACCAGAACCACCACCCAGTTTTACACAAATTTAATCACCTCCAGGTTACTAAATCAGCTATATTTTCTCAACCTTGAGAGCCTGACAGCATCCATGTCCTTTTTTGGCAGTAAACAGGATTGTATTTTAATGAATTCCTCGGGAATGGATCTACAGCCTTCAAAGTCAAGGAGCACTTACATTTGGACAGTCCTGTTTCTCTTTCATTCATGGTCACCAAAAAGAATAGATGACCATTTTTTAAAATACATCTGTAGATGATTTTTTTAGTCCACTTCAGACATGCTCTCTAGCCCTCAGCTGTCTGCAGTGACAGGGCCTGTGGAAGAGTTTCCATCCTTCTTTTTTCCCTCTGATACCTCTTGTTTAGTTCCTCCACAGAAGGGAGGAACAACAAACCAAGAACAAAAGTAAAAGCAGGAGATCCATGAACTTCCAGCATGCTTTGATTGGAAATTCCAGCATGGCAAAACCAGAGCACAGATGACACTTGAGTTCCTGAGCCACCCAGTATCCTCAGGTACCCCTTGGATAATGACTTTTACTCTCACTTGCTGCATTTGATGCTGAAACTTAAAAATAGACCCATTCCTGACTTTCTTTAGGGCGGATTTTTTTTTTCAGAGGTTGCATTTTGCAAGTGTTTCATACAGACAAGACCTCAGCATAATTCTTCTGCTAAATTTACACATTTAGATTGGAGAAGCTGGACAAATTTATTCCTTCTTCTTGTTGGCTTTGCCCCATTGTTAGTTTTAATTGGTGGTGGCAGCAACACAAGAGTGAGTGGCACTCACTGCTCTCCCTTTGCTCTCTCTGATGTCAAAACCAACAGCTCCTCTGTGGCAAGTTGGTCTATTTATATCTCACCTCTTTCAGAACAATGAAAACTCTTAGAAACGGACTTTTAAAACCTTAAAACATCATTTCAGGGTTTTGGTTTTTTTTTTCCCCAGCTCCGTAAAGCAAAAATTCCTTCCAGAGAAAAATCTAATAAAAAATGGAAACCAGAACACTGAGCTACTGGAATCTCTCAGGGAATACTGAGAGATTCCCTTCCCAATCCTCCCACATGGCACTGGTCATCTAATTTTGGATCTTTTTATAGAACTTTAGGATTTGAGCCATCTCTGTGCATAATTTAAAACTAGCAAATTTGTGCATTATCCAGGGTCTGGTGAAGCAAACAAAGCTGTCTGGGGGGTTCCCAAGGCAATTAATTAATTATTATGGATAAAAGGTATGACAACATAGCCTATAATAGAATCCCAGAATGATTTGGGTTGGAAAGGACCTTAAAACTCATCCCATTCCTCCCTCTGCAATGGGCAGGGACACCTTCCACCAGATCATGTTCCTCCAACCTGACCTTGGACACTCCCAGGGATGGGGCAGCCACAGTTGGTCCATTCCAAAGGAAACAAACTCACGTTTTCCAGCATTTTCATTCTTTCCTCACGGGATCAGACTAATAATTGTCTGTATTTTGATACTCATAATTTAATGAGATAGATGCATTGCTTTGGCTGCAAAACTGATTTAAAAATCCCAAATATTTTATGTTTGATAATGCAATCAATAATATAATTATATCTTTCTGGTAATCCATTTATCTGAAATTCTTCTTTTTACTTTGTTTGTTTTTCCACTTCAGTACTTCTTGCAAATTACTTATTATTATAATTAAGATAAAGCAGTGATTGCAAAGATGCCAGAGAACACAGTGCTTACATTAATTTGGGCAGATGACACGAACCAGGATGTTTCAAGAAAACAGTTGAGGGGTTTCATTTGTGCCACATGAGATGATGTTGTTTTCAAACTGCAAAAACTTTAAAAAACCCTGAGCATCTCCCCTGGGAGGGTGGGGAGGCCCTGGCACAGGTTGCCCAGAGAAACTGTGACTGCCCCTGGATCCCTGGAAGTGTCCAAGGCCAGGTTGGATAGGGCTTGGAGCAACCTGGGCTGGTGGAAGGTGTCCCTGCCCATGGCAGGTGGTGGAAAAAGATGATTTAAGGTCCCTTCCAACCCAAACCATTCCATGATTTTATGATATATTCTGAAGAATCCTGTTACAGGGTGAAAACATTAAGAATTTGTTCAAATAAACTCTTTTCACCAACAAGCAAAGCCTCCACTGACCCATGTGCACATCCAAGTTTTCAGTCCTGCAGAAGAGTCATCCACAGAGGGACAATGGTTGATGTTCTTCAGGGTTCTGCATCCTGTGCTCCTGCCACCTTCAAAATATGTGGATAAACTGATGTAAACCACCAGCAAAACCACCAAGCTCTTAAATTATCCTATTCAGGAAGCAAGTGTTTGCAGGGCAATGCATTTCAATTTAGGGACTCTCTGTCTTCGATTTGTCTCCACCTTGTCACATTCAGATATCTGATTATATTGGGCACAATTCACATTGAGAT